CATTCTATACAGACAGCGACCCGGTCATGTGCAGAGCCTTCTCGTTATCACTTAAGGAAGAGACATTGGAATGGTATAACACTCTTCCTCCCAACACAGTGGATTGCTTCGCTACTGTGGAAAACCTCTTTAGGAGACAATACGCATCCAATCGGAAACAGGAGGTAACACCGGCGGATTTGGTAAATACTAAGCAGGAGAAAGGAGAAACTTTGAAGGCTTTTATGAAGAGGTATACTGAAACCGCACGACGGGTTAGAGAGATAGATCAATCTTTTATTATCAATAATTTGCCTTCGTGTATGAGACCAGGATATTTTGCGGAAAAATTGTATGCACGACCGCCAAAAACTATGGAGGAGCTATAGGAGCGAGCAGCTGAGTTCATTCGTATGGAGGAAATGTGATTGTCACAAAGGAAACGACAGCAAGAGGCTAATGTGGGCGGAAGTAGAAAGGACGGCAAACGACCGTTCGACAATAACGATAAGAATAGGGAGTTTCCCCGGCCATTCAAGTTTCACCATTATACAACCCTCAATGCACCTAGGGCAGAAGTTCTCGAAGAAGCCCTTAGCGCAGAACTTCTCACACCCCGAAGGAAACCATCTCCAAGAAACGCAGATGAAAGGAAGAGTTGCCGGTACCATCAAAACCATGGACATACTACAGAAGACTGCATCACGTTAAAAAATGAAATAGAAAATCTTATCCGGGCGGGACATCTCCGTAGGTTTATAAAGGAAGCAAGATACAGCCTCCCCAAGGAAGGATATTCGCGAAGAAGTCCCGAGCGGGCAAATAGGAAAGACGAGCGAGGGCGGGGCTATAGTCGCAGTCCCAGTCGTCATCGGGAACGGTCGGTTCGTGGATTTATCAACTAAGGAGAAACCTCCAAAACTCTATTATTGTCATGGTTAAATTTAGTTTCACTTGATTTAGACTTTTGTTATTGTCCTACGCTTTCATTAGGGAATAAATAAGGCCAGGTACTTGGTGCCCAATCAATCGTTCCCAAACGTTGCTAAAGAAGTGCATATCTAGCGAAAAAAGTCTCTATAAAGAGTCTGAAGAAAAAGACCGAGCGGTAAATCCCGCTCAGCCGAGAGGTAAACCCTCTCGTCAAAATTGAAGATAAAGACCAAGAGGTAAATTCCTCTATAAAGATTTGAAGACCGAGCGGTAAATCCCACTCGGCGAAGAGGTAAATTTCTCTATAAAGATATGAAGACCGAGCGGAAAAACCCGCTCGGCGAAGAGGTAAATTCCTCTATAAAGATTTGAAGACCGAGCGGTAAAACCCGCTCGGCGAAGAGGTAAATTCCTCTATAAAGATTTGAAGACCGAGCGGTAAATCCCACTCGGCGAAGAGGTAAATTCCTCTATAAAGATATGAAGACCGAGCGGTAAATTCCACTCGGCGAAGAGGTAAATTCCTCTATAAAGATATGAAGACCGAGCAGTAAATCCCACTTGGCGAAGAGGTAAATTCCTCTATAAAGAATCGCAGACCGAGCAGTAAAACCCGCTCGGCGAAGAGTACAGGTAACAGGATCCTGCAAATCACAACCGAGAGGTAAATCCCTCTTGTCAAAGTTGAAAACAAAGACCGAGCGGTAAATCCCACTCGGCTGAGAGGTAAAACCCTCTCGTCAAAGATGAAGCCAAAGACTGAGAGGAAAATCTTTCTCAACCGAACGGTTTTTCCTCTCATCAACCGGGAAGCTCTTATAACAAGGACTGTCAAGTACGCAGCCAGATTCAATACATGAAACCGTTCGGCCTAAAAAGGATATAACGACTTGAAGCACACGGAGAACAATTTGTTCAATACAACGAGAACAATCTCCCTGAAGCTCATAAGTCCTATAGTTAACCGTTCGACTAAAGCCGAACGATTAACTCGGACTTGGGGGGCTTATGTTACTATGCACTTGCGCGCAACCGATCGGTATTGGTCTATCAGCTTCTCAGCCGGTCAATCTCGGCAAGCCTCTTGCGTTCGGTCTCGACAGTTGTTGAGCAGATTTAATGCACAAATAAATGTGATAACGGCTACCGTTAAACAATTAAGGTTTGCATTAATGACCATTAAGAGGTAAATTAATTTAGATTCCTTTAAACTCTATAAATAAGGGTTAGGTTTGAGGTAAAGTCAGATTCAACTCATACTACAATTAGTCCTGTTAGGACTTCAATATCTAACTGTAACAAACAGTTCATAAAACCACTCCTAACTTGAGCGTCAGAGTGTCTTTTGCAAGTACATCCCCTCTTTTATAACCGAGTGGCCAATATTGAAGGTGACCGATCGGTCTAAACTGGAAGCGAAGCGCACCAGTCGAAGGTTAGTGCCTTGATGATCGAAAATGGCATCTAGGTTGATGTTAGAGGCTGGTTGTTGTCATCCAAACGGGTTGCAATGTCATTCGAGACCGTGAACGACTGGAGGTTGAGGATGAACATGGAGGTCCGTGATGAAGAAGAGAAGAATTGGATTGGAGGGTAACCGATTCCAGAATGAGAAGGAATCGATTCCACCTAGTTCCAAAAGAGGTCGTAACCGATTATTAAGTGACGGTAACCAATTCCACCGTGGGGTTACTCGCTTCCAAGCGTTGCACAGTAATGTAGATAGGTCTTCGTTGATTCAAAACCGTAGGAAACGGATGCTCTCTTTCCTCGAGCACATACCATATGGAGAACATTCAACACCTACAAGCTGCAATAATGCCTAAACTTAATCATAAAGATCATCAATTACCATATAACAAAGCACAATTACTACAAAAAGGAACACTGTTTTCTTTCTGTTGACAAAATATTTTATATTTTAATATTATAAATAATTAAAGTGTAACTTTCATTCATTATTTTTTATTTATTTTCATATTACATAATTTAATATCATTTAGCTAAATTTAACCGTTTTTATATTCTGTAACAAATTTTATATCAGCAACCATATTTCTTTTGATTTAACTGACAATTTTAAAACGTGTAATTAATTGTTTTACATATATTTAAATTAATTTTAACTTTAACTTTTTTTCATATGACTTGATTGTTATTTATTTTAACTTTATAATAGTTCAGCTTATAAAAGACATAATTACAAAAATAATTAATATTATTTCACTTTATTGATTAACAAATAAAAAACATTTTTATAAATAGCCAAATCCAAATAAAAATATAGAAAATTTTTACTATATATCATCTACAATTTTACTATATGTCATCTATAATTTTATTCCTTAACTATTTCCATACAAATTAATGAAGAATTAATGACAAATATTTTTTTTTTGTTAATTTTTCTAATAAAATAGAAAATTTCTTGTAATGTATTTTGTTTATCTTTTAATTACATTAATTTTATATATTATTTTATTTTATTATCACATAAAATATAATCTATAAAAATTAATTTTATAATATATAAGAATTTCATTTAATTTATGGATATTTAACTTAATATATTATTTTATAATCATTTTAATTTAATTTTTTTATATTTTTTTATAATATAATGCATTTTTTTTCTTATTCAAATCGTGACATGATGACTCAATTGTAGGAGGGATAGAATGCAAGGTATGGAACAAATAC